AAGGTTTTTACCAGTTTGGCCACATTTTGGCCGGACTAAGTCCGTTTGGCCAGGGCTTAATTAATTCTCATGCACTAATTACTGTCAGCTAAACCAGAGACCAGCAGCATATCATTTCACACACGTGTAATCATTAGTAATAGTAACTGGACCGAGTGGAGTACAATAGACCAATTTCGATATATTAAAATTCAGGCTAAACAATAGACTTCAGTGCGAGGCTCTGGGGAATAACTACAGAGTTTGTGGGTTTTATTCCCCAGAGCCTCGTGCTGAGGTCTATTGTGTTAGGCTGAATTTTGACATATCGAAATTGGTCAATTCATAATGGTAATAGGACTGAGTGGAGTCCAATTCGGTCTGTAATCATACAAGTGATTAACAAAAAGGTTATCGTACACCTTTAGAGGTGTCTAGCGTCCAAGCGATGTAGTGCGTAAGGTTTAAACTGTAGATACCTAAACCCTATATCAAATGCTTATAGAGCTGGCTATCAAACAAATTAACTATATCAACAATTTTAAATAAAATGAACAGTCAAATTTTTCACGATCTTTAAATGCGAACGTCAAAATTAATTATTGAAAGCTACAAGTCAAAGGGAATTTGTTCGTTTGCTCTCAAATTTAGACAGTAGCTAGTTTAACATATGAACAACAAAAAAAAGTGTCTTCGAATTTTTTATTTCTGAAATGTTTTTTCTCCGAGAGTGATTTTAGTACGTTTACTCCACATTGTTTTAATCATATTTAGAGGTCATGAAAAATTCGCTCTATAACCCTGAATTTCATATGGGGGTTTAGGTATCGACAGTTTAAACCTTACGCATTATATCGCTTGGACGCGAGACACCTCTAAACTATACGGTAACCTTAAATTCTCAGGTTCCACACTAGGACGGAGAAATTTGAAAACTCTGCTTTCTTACTCCGGTTAGGTCTCTCGTCCACTCTAATCCGTCACAAAAACCGGAGAAATTTGAAAACGCCGGCTTTTCATTTTCGTGTGGACGTAAAACATTCTGAAAGCGAAGTCGAAAGCGAAGGCATCACGATAATCATGTGATTTCCCTGCGCGAGTTTTCCTCAAACACAAATCCAAAATAACCGGTGATTGTTGCCTTTTTAAATTCCTCCGACGTAATGGGGACGGAAAACAAATTTGACGCGTTTTCAGAGGACCATTTCCGAGGACCTCAATTTTAAAACTTTTAGGGGGGAGGATGCCCTTGGAGTCCCCTACAGAGGAATGTCTTCAGCGGTCCGTATCTCGAACCCCCTTCTCTAGTATAAAATCCTGTGTCCAGCCCAGGAAATACATACTTAAGAGTAATTCTCTATTCTCAGCATTTTAAAAAGAGCGAATAAAAGTGGGAGAAGAAAGCGCTCCCAGAATACTAACCCTACCCCACTTAGGGACTAAAATAATCTGAAAGCACGTGAAAGTTTGCGCAAGACTGGAATCTAATTTTGCAATAAACAAAATGGAAGATGGCGGAGGGAGCACGGCAAAGTATCTTTTCCGATCGTGGACTTCGAAGGTACAAATCAAGTCCACAGTTAAACGCAGTCAAAAAGAATCAAGCCTCGGAAAGGAGTTCTTTGTCAGGTAGCTTCGAGGCACCAAAATCTTATGGCACAACGCGAAATCAACTGCTACCGCAATGCGACGTAAAATTGATTGGTCATGTGCTGGAAACAACAGACACACTGCAAGGATTGGCGATAAAATATGGAGTAACGGTGAGTAAGCGTGTTTGAAAAACAATTTGTTCTATTAGCTTTTTCTTTAGGCATTGGTAGGCTTCGTTACGCTATCAAACAGACCAAAATGATGGGCCGCAAAATCGTTCCCTTGGAGAACAATGGACGGCTTTTCTTCCTGCCCGGCCGGCCGGGTAGGTCGGTATCGAATTTCTTGCGAGTTTAAGATTAATCTACCTACAGCTAACCAACCCTTGAGAAACAGGTACGTTTCCTGGGAGCAAAGTAAGAGAGACGTTCTCCCGTTGGATAAAATTTTGTCAACGACTTCGTTTTCGATTTGGTAAGACTTGTTATACAGGTTATATAACTACAGGTAAGCTTAGTGAGTTATATTCAAATCGTACTCGGACAGTCGTCCCGAACCATAGATATTCCTTGATTTGCCTACACATAGATCATTTGTCTCACTTTAATATACCAGCTAATCAAATATTTGCTTTCACAGGTTTAATATTAATCATATTCATGAATATATTAGTGTTTAGGATACGATTTCTCGGAAAATGATATGTTTCCAATCAATATGTTGTTTTGAACAAAATATAAATTGTTCTCCATAACACAAGGCCAAAGGTCTCAGGGATCTACCTTTATATACGGCGTCTCATTTTTTACCCTCCATGATGGACCTGGATCCTTTACATCCTTAAATCCTTAGGTCTGGGATGGGTTTAATTTAAGCACGTTACATTGGACTAGCATCCTATCCAGGGAGTAGAAATATTTCTGTTGTAAGATGGGCTATGTAATGAACTTTTAGTCTGAGATGGGATCATAGCAAATTTAAGCTTGGGATAAATATAAAAATGATGTCACATCAGACTTGGGTGTGTTTGTAGCAATTGTAGCAAAGTGTTTAATTATAGGGCGAAGTACAGGCTGATCAGAACTTCTGGCTGACCCTGCATTTGACTGCTTGATGGGTTATATTTTAATGTGCTACTATGATCAAAAAATTCACTTGCCTTTTTCCTTCAGATTTTAAAAGCATGTTTGTTTGACGCCTGACTGGCAAAATCTTGAGCTTCGAATTTTATCCAAAGGCTGTTTTCTTTGAGTGCAAGTTTAGGATTTCACAGTCTGCCATTTCACGTTCAAGACTGACCGATTGGACCTCGGAGGGTTGGATCAAGGATAAGATGGCGTCAAAGACTCACTAGCTTAAAATTGCATCGTGTTAATGCAGCTTATTGTACATGCAAAACACAAGTTTAAAAGTATGAAAGTTTGAAACTCCCTTGCTGCATGATATTAATTTAGGCACGTGCACATGTATTGTATTTTTACACTAGTCAGTCTTTGATGTCATCTTATCCTCGATTCAGCTCTCTCAAGTTTTTTAAGTTAGTAATGGCAGACCATTAATGAGGAAAATTTCAGTCAAAATAGACAGGTGTCTTTTTGAAATGAAGGCTTAAAACTTTGGTCACTTAGTGGTTCAGTTATATAGTTTTGAAATACAAAGAAAAAGTAGAATTGATTGTTGGTCACAGTAGCACTTTAAGGTATAAACACATATGAGGCTAATGAATGACTAAGAAATAGAAAACATGTACCCTGTTTCTATTAAGTGTTAGTATAAATATACTTGTGCTCTAGCTATCATGCATGCTATTCTCCAAGTGACTACGCTACTCACTAGCTATTCTGTTGTAGATAGTGAGTAGCATAGCAGTTTCAATTTTTAACAAAATGAAGGCCGCTTCTTTGCATTTTCAAGGTGTCTGTGAAGAGGATTTAGATAACAAGTAGTAGATTATTCGCTGTTGATTTCTATGCATGATAGTTGGCTCAGGCTGCGCCCTTTTCAACTATCACATGATAGAAAGCTCATAATCTAATTGTTTAACAGAAACACAAGGTGACAGGCGAGGGTTTTGTCTGACTTTTTTGAGTTCTCCCAAACTTCCACAAGTGTTTTTGTATAACTCAGTAGCTCATAACTCATGTTTTCTATTTCTTTAAGGAAATTCTGTGATAAAAAAAAGAAAACAACCTGTTTACTTTCATTGATCATCAAAACGTAAATATTCTCTTTGCTTGCACCATCATCACATCAACAGCTTGAGCTAGTTCTGTGTTTCTATTGAATTACACAAAACTATTTTAAACCAATCAGCACATGTATTTTCTTCGGACAATTTTCTAATCCTTTGTAATGGGTGCTGTTGTGACTGTGGACTAACTTGTTTTTGCTTTTTCAGGTTGAGCAGTTGAGAAGAACAAATAAGATTTGGGCAAATGACAATATACACTTGTTTAAAATTCTGAAAATTCCAGTCAAGAAAGATTCACCACGCTATTTGGAAGAACTGGAGGTTTCTGAAGATGGTACAGAAGATAGTGGACCAGGTATTAATGATGACAGAACTATCAATAATGGCGTGAATAGTAGCAAAGGAAAGCAATGTGGAGCAGCGTGTGATGGCTCTTTAGATCAATCAAAAGAACGAACATCAGAGGAACAGCACATTAAAACTGCTTTAAGTTTTCTAGAACAGCTGGATGCAAGAATTAAAAGTTCCAAAAAAGAATCTGAAAAACTAAGGTGAGTTTTGGTTCTGATATCAAAAGCTACTGATATTGATCAATAGCACAATCCAAAAGTTAAATTTTATACACTGATCAATAGTCACAATTCTGAGCAAAGAAACATCTGAGCACATAGTGTGTGCTAAGAACTCAACCTAGGGTCCAATGTTTCTTGTATGTAGGATTTAGCTTGTCTCGTTTAATTAATGTGTTTATTTCCTACAAAATGGTGTCAGATTTGTGTGCCAAAATGTTGTCCATGGCTAGGTACCCACCACACATGCAAAATACAGAAAGACACTGAACTAGAATTACAACAGATTACCACCGGTAATTGTGAAATTATGAACTGGAGTCTTGCACTTATGTGATCAATATTTTTAACCTCTAGAGCCTGTCTTGACTCATTCAAGTGTATTTGCTTTGGAATATGTGACCTGGTCAGCTTCTGCCTTTCCGGGGCTCAAGTTATAAACACAAATACATTGCTCTCTGTCACAGCATACGTATAACTCTAAGACAATAAGCAACAGACACTACCGTCTCAATAAGGTACAATGTACATGTAGCTGCAGTGTTGAGAATAATAAATCAAATATTTATTTCCAGGACTGTTTCTGGACCCAAAGTTATAGCAGACATGGAAAAATCAAGTGGCAGTTATGTTGCAGAAGATGACTTGTTTCGACCACTGGAAACAGGATCATCAAGACGGCAAAGAGGACAGATACTCGCTTCAAAGAGACATGTGAAACGAGACAAGACTGCCATCCAGCATGATGACGATCAGTTCTTTGAGCTCTGATTGTATGGGGTGTCACTGAAATATGATTTTGATGATGGTGTAGTGTTCTATGCCAGCTGAAAAATGCCGAGCTCTTTTTGAGAGCTTAACACCCTAATATGGATTAAATTTCTACATGGTTCACAGGTACTTAATGGTGACAAAATTTCAGGAATTTTGAACATAAACTCAAAGGAATAATATTGGACCAAATTGTTATTTAAATCCCTTTCAGATTCTCAAGTTGCTCTACAAAAAATGTTTCTTAGCCATATTCTCTAATATTAAATAATAAATCACTAAAATTTAGGAACTTTTTGGCTTTAGCTAATGACAAAATAGAAAAAATACAGTTGAAACCTGCAATTTTGAACCTCCACTATTTTGAACCCTATTTTGAACCCTCAGGGGAAATGAAAAATAGTGGGAGTCCAAAATAGCCGATAGTATGACTGATGGGCAATTCCAAGGCAAATGGTGTTGAGTTGAAAATAATGGGGAAATTGAAAATTATGGTCAAGTTAGAATTGGTGGGTCCAACTGTACATAGATAGGTTTTAGCATGAGGAAGTAAGCTGTTACTTGCTCCTTTTACTCTTGCCACCGGCCACAAAACAGGTCTTGCAGCTTTACTAAATTCAGTGACTCTAAATGTTCCAATGCATGTTTACCTCAGTTAAATATTCAACTTTTTTGCCAAACTTTGCAGGTAGATTGTACTTATATCTGCAGGGGTTTCATTGACTGGCTGGGAGCACGATTTTGCCGGCCTGATTTGACAATCTCGAGAAAAGTTATAGTTCAAAAATTGTTGCCTCCCTGTGAAAACATTAATGAAACCCCTGATTCTGTAAACATTCTTTTCTAATTGTTTCTTGTTTCAGTGTTGATTATCTCATACTGTCAAATCCTGGGTGTAACTCGCTCCACCCCCCACATCAATGCCCCCTGCTCTTGATCATCTCTCCGCTATTACCAAAAAATTCTACTTACGAGTCCCCTCTCTCCCATTCAGGATGTAAACTCTCCCGGTTATACATCTAACCCCATCCAAAAACCCCTTTCGAAGTTGTATGAGCCCACTGGGCTGTTATCGCTAGATTTTACAGTATGCCTTTGAGCAATTGATGACTTGGCCAGATAAATAATGATCATTGTAGACAGCTGCTGTAGATGTCGGCAGCCTGCTCTCGGAAGAAAGATAGGAAAGATGGTTATAGCATTGTTTGATTCTAGGTGGCAGTGGTAGAATAACTGGACTGGACTCCAGAACATTGACTTATGCTCACACCCTTTAAAACAGAATGAACAGTGAATTTTTGTTAATAGTGAGTGTGTATAACAATGCTAGGAAGTAAATACTTAACTTCCTTGAATGCCATCAATTTTAATATATTTTTACATGAATAAATAGGTGGAATTCACCAGATGAAAGTATACTGTATTTAGCTATTTTTATATTGTTATGTCATGTAATTGTGTAAATCTGGCCAAGTGAAGGAACTCGACAGCTATTAATGATATTTAATAAAGAAACCAACACCTTAAATTGCATTGCTATAGTATAACATTATTGGTATATGAGCACATTATTGATTAGAACCATTTGGACTTTCTGCACACAGTGACTGGTTCATTATTTTTTTGGGTTATATCATGCTGTAGTTAACTTTTTTAAAATGTGATTAATTCTTGATCTGAGCTATTTCACCTATATGTGGTTCATTTCTTCTAGTTATTTGACTTTAGTAATTACCACATATGGTTGAAATAAAATAAAATTAACATTGACATCAACATTTATAAAACTATGATGAAGCAACTATTAACCCATCGGAGAAACCTTGAGAAGAAAACAATTTCACTATTTTGTTTCTTCTCATACTCTCAGATGCTTCCATCACTTTCTTAATGTATGCCAGTATGATACTTTTACTATATTTTGTACACTATAACTGCATGTTCTCTCAGCCAATCAGAACATGCATAACTACCACGGTAACTTAAAGTTTGACACAACGTTTGCACACAATCATCTGCAAGGATTTATTTTGTACCATAATAATATTATGATTAATATATAGTCAGAAAAAATAATTTATGGACAATCGATTGCAATCACTGGTTTGAGAAAGTAATTTTTCTTTTTTGTCTTCAGTGAGGTATCTTTGAGATCGTTTTATCTTTAGTAGTGAAATTTGTAACTGTTTTGGTTGGATGATGTGATAAATCAATGTTATGAATGGCTTTGTGTTACATGTACTTAGGTATTTTATTGTCTTAGCGACGTTCTTATCGATCCCTGCTAGCATCAAGGTTTCGTAGAAGGGTTTTCCTCTAGTTGAAAATTCGGGAAATATAAAGTGTTGAATAGCAAAAGCAGCATATTGGAAAATCACTGGAAATTTTAGTCGTAAAATTGTACCCTGTAAGTGTTTTATCATAGGTTGTTGTTACGTCATAGGACTTCTTGATTCTGTAATGCGCATGTGCTTGGCGCGACACGTGGATTAAACAGTGTTGTGTGTTAACGTGTGTTGCTTATTAATTATAATCTCATTCGTTTATTCGAACGGTTCCGTTTCCTCGGTTATAACAGTAAGCTTTAAGTGAACTTTTTTAAGGCTCAGAAAATGAGGAAACATCGGTCACTTTCATTCGATCAAAACTCCGCAACTTTCGAAACGGGGTCAAATGGTACGGAAATTTCCTGGAAAAGTTTCCGTAATGTCCGAGAATTCACTGACTTCCTTAATTCGAACCATTGGACAGAAAATTTCTGAAATTCCGGGAACAACATCATATGAAAAGGAAATTCAAGGTAAAGAGATTTTCGAAAATTTGGATATACCTCGCGGCGTTGTCCTCTTTTCCTGTAATTTCTACCCTGGCTCAAATTTGATTTGGGACGTAGAAAAGACAAAACCTCTGGAACGAGGGTAGAAAATTCAGGAATTGCAACCGAAATTTTTTGTCGAATCAATGGAAAGCACCCGTTGTCGAGGAGTCGTTGCTCCAAAAATGTTTCCTTGCGAAGCAAAATGTTTCCAAAAAAAAATTTAGGAACTTATTTTGCTTCCGCGACAATGCAAATAACATTTGTATACAGAAACAATGCCTTATCGTTAACGGTACCTTTACCTTTCGAAAGAAAGGCCTTAATTATTGCGTGTGATTGGAAAAAGAGTCGCTGTTAATGACAAGTTATCAATCCTCCGCACATTTTTGTGAGGACAAAGTCTCGCTTAGATCATGGCATGTGTGAGAAAAGTGCAAACATGACCCTTAAATTATTGATAGTACCGCGAGACGGCAAGATGAACCGCAAGAGATTAAAAATGGTGCTTTATTGACAAAGCTTGTTCCGCCAAGATAACTCTATATTAAACTCCTATTTTGCTCGCTTCTAGAAGAGGGTATTAAAAAATATAACCTCGTCTACAAGCAATCTGTATTGCCGGATTGGGACTGGGGACTAGAAAGTGAGACACGACAAGTAAACTGAGCTGTTTTAGACAGTGTTCAAATCAACCTGCTGAGAACCAATCAGAGTCGAGAATTTGTTATAGTTCAATGATTCGTTATCTCTACCGCTGAAAAAAACAAGAGACTTCCTTGTCATACGTTTTGGGGGACTATTTGTTTTCCTCTCACACCGAAAACACGGTCTGTCATACTGTGGATTGCGGCTGGCGTTTTCAAATCGATGTCACAAAATAGATATTAAATTAAATATTGCAAAACTGAATACCTAATGTCCGTGAGGAGTATCATGATATCAATAAGCCATTGTTTACATGTTCAGTAATAATATTTTAGTGCAAAAACAGTGATCTTACAGGTAACAGTCGGTTTGATATAGCTGCGTCCCTTTAAGTAACTTGAAAGTGTCGCCGAGCATTTTCTCTTCAGTTTTCATGAGGAATGGTTCTACAGCTCTATCAACTAACCCAACTACCAGATGATCAAAACATTGATCAATATCGCAAAAATGATGTTCAGTGTTTCATCTTTGTATACTAAACTGCGCCATTAACAGAGGTAAAAATAATTTCAAATAAAACTTATCTACACAAACACGAGAAAAAAACCTTTTTAATCAGAACAGTCTCGATAATAATTAAAAGTTCGTAAATATATATTATTGATAAACCAGCCATATCAGAAATATAGTTCAGCGACTCATCGGCTATACGCAATGAAACTCTGGTGATATTCACTACTTTGTCTACTTTGTAAATGACTCGAAACTCTTTAGCTACAATGAAAACAGCGAAAACTTGTTTCAGAAAATGCATTTATACACGTTTTGTTCCTGTTTTGAAAAGCAGCTGTCCTGTAAATTATAGGCGATTGTTTTTATTTCTTTACGATATATGACATGTATGATGATCTGTTTATTAAGACGAGGGTTCTTTCCAAGTTTGTAGTAGTATTTATAGGACGCGAGCAAAATGTAAAAATAAAATTTAATTCCTGCTAGACGCGGACTAGTTTTTTTTTTCCGTTTTAGTTTAGTCCACTTAGGAGAGCGACAAAATCAGACAAAACTATACATATCACTTCGCCTAAATTACCATACATCAATACAGATCACACCAGGTGATATCTTTGGAGTAAATTATCTAAACCCCCTGAGCGGCGTCCATTTGTTTCTTTAGTCGAACACGTAACATACGCTTTGAAGTCAAATTCAAAATAGCTTTTTGATCTCCGAATCAGTTTCACGCCAGAAAACTTTGTGAAGTTTACATATCACAAATACTGCGGTCATGACCAAGGCAAGCTATTTAATGATGGCTGTCTTTGTTGGATCTTTGGCCGCAATTGTCTATATACAGCGAGAAAGAATAGATTATAACCGTCTCTGGAGTGTTTTGATTCAAAGAGGCACCGAGACTCAAGACCCAAACACTGATCAACTGGAACAAACCGACTGCCAAAGCAAAGACGGTCTAAATATCTGCCGCGACTCACGTTTGTCAAATTCACCATGTGGTGATGCGTCAAATAACGCAAACGAACCCAGATCCTCAAAGGATAATAATTTAGATAGTGCTTGTTTTGAACAAGAAGGTACCGCAACTTCATCAAAAGAACAGCAAATTAAAGAACAAAATGGAAATCGAGTCTGTGGCGAAGAAAAGAAAGCGACCACTGAAGGAAACGAGTCCTTGCCGGGTCACATGAAGAAATTAGGAGAACATGGCTCTTCTATTGTGGAAGGAGAAATCGAAGAGTTGAATTTTGTACCAAACGGCAGGGATTTTTATGAATACTTTTTACGAAAGAGGAAGCCTTTAGTCATGCGAGGAGCAATAAAGAATTGGCCGGCAGTACGACACTGGGCGAACGAAAGTTACCTTCGCGAGAAATATAGTGATGTTGTATTCGATGTACAGCTGACTAAAAAGTACGAGGGAGAATTTCCGGCTAAGAAAACAATGAACCTAAATGAGTTTCTTTCAATTTACAAAAGCAAGCAGGTTTATTTGGATTGTCCCTTCCCTCATAGTGCCATGATCCAAGATATTTTCGTACCATACTGCTTACAGTGCGAAGAAATTATGCCGACTATTGCCAGTACCCATTTACTTTTCAGCAGTGGAAACACGAGCTCAAGTTGTCATATGGATGGGTATGAGAACCTGTTAAGTCTAATCGCTGGAACAAAGGAAATTTTAGTGGCCAACCCGAAGTACGTGGAATATTTTTACCCCCGTAACCACACCACAGTAAACATTGAATCGCCAATCGATCCAGAGGCAGTCGATTTAAAGAAGTTTCCCAAACTCGCCGAAATCCCTTTTTACAAGGTAAGTCAGCTTTCTCTAAAAATTCAAATTGAAAGCAATTCACGAACCTTTTTCCTATCAGAAAAAAAACAGGAATATTAATAAATTATGGATAAAGTTAGCAAGAATGCGAATAGAATCCAAATGAACATGCTGTTATGTTTTGTCGACTCTTTTTTCCCCTCCTTTCATGTTTGTACCTGACCCACCTATTCATGCTTTCAATTCATGTAAATGGAATTTTTTATAACAACTCCTCGACATATGTCTATGTTACGCATCCCTTTGCCAGTATCGCACTGCTTAATATACATAGATATTAGAAAAGTGTCAGTAAATGAGCATTTAATTCTGACAACACGCACAGATCGCAATATTTCAGTCATAGTTAAGTTATTGAGCTCCTAATTATGTGTTGCGTCGAACAGTTCATTGGCTTATTTGTCTTGATATCCGGCATGTGCTTTTAACTAACGTGGAAAAACCATTTTTATTCTTTTCTGGAGCGGCCAGGCGGCGACTGCGTATAAATAATATCTATAAATTCTGCCAAAAAATCAAGGGATTTAAGAAATAAAAGAAAAAAGGCAAAGTCATACTAAAAAAATTCCAAATGAATCAGTATAGAGAAATTCAAAATGGACATACAGCTATTTTTTCAACTTTTTATTTTCCTCTTTTCAGGACTGTTTGCACCTGTGCCATCTTCTTATGTAAATTGAATACTATACCGCCATACTTCTTCTATTCCTCGCGCACTCCTTTCTGACATATTTTAAATATTCATTCCATTTCCTAGAATCGATCAAAAAAACCATAAATGATAAATTTAATAACTACAGAACGCAAACGTCATAAAGTAGTTCATAATTTGTCAAAATGTCTGGGGGGTCATGGCGCCACAATAATGTCAGTCTTTTTGCTGGTTGTTTGGCGATTTTTTTGTGTAAAAAACTTAATGAATTTGAAAACACGTACAATTGATCCGAGCCGGCTATAAGCACTGGGTTTATACTAATTCTTTAAAAGGGGTTTGAGTGGGCTTATAACTGGGGGCGGGAGATTTTATCCATAGGGTGTTAAATCAAGTGACACAAAAATACTATATACGCTGCAAGCAGTCGTAAACAACAGTCCTACAAGCATTCGTTGAATCCCTAGATTTCATCTCGTTGACTATAAGCCAAGGCAGGAGCCTAATGTTCCCCATNGATCAAATGTCCTTATTGGCGAGATCGAAGATATTGATTACGTTCCAAATGGGAGGGATTTTTACTCACATTTCTTAAGGAAGCAACGGCCACTCGTCATGAGAGGAGCTGCCGCAGATTGGTCCGCTGTGAAACACTGGGCAAATGAAACGTACATGAGGGAAAAATATGGCCATGTTATATTTGACGTCGAGTTTACCAAACATTATGAAAGAATACATCCTATCAAGAAAACAATGAATCTGAGTGAATATCTAGACATTTACAAAAGCAAACAGGTTTATTTAGACTGCCCCTTCCCACAGACTGACTTGACATCTGATATCATGGTTCCATATTGCCTGCAATGTGAGGAAGTTATGTCCACCATAGCAAGTATACATCTGCTGTACAGCAGCGGCAATACAAGCTCGAGTCTCCATCAAGATGGATATCAGAATCTTCTGACCCTTATCTCTGGAACAAAAGAAGTTCTTGTAGCCAATAGTGAATCTGCACAGCATTTGTATGCCAATAATTACACAACAGTGCCCGGTTTATCTCCTGTAAATCCCGAATCAGTAGATCTTAAAACATTTCCTAATGTTTCAAAAGTAACTTTTCATAAGGTGAGAGATGCATTCAGTGGCATCAGATATAACTAAGCACTAAGGATTACCACAAAGTTGATGCTGATATTGCAATACATATGTAAGACAATTTTCCTCAACGGTGCAAGGCTGCATAAAGTGAATTGAAAATTAATGATTTGATAGCTTACTTGACCTAATGGTAAAAATTTCTGTAGCTTTCAACAACAAGGCTCAAATCGATTTCAACAAAAAACGCCCAGATTAGGCCAGTGGCCATAGTGCCTAGAAGATCATGGTCCTCAGAAACTTGACCTGATCTCAAAATCTTGAAGTCCTTTATGATGAGTCACAAAGTTTTGTTTTTATGTCCCTATGTCTTGTTTTTTCTTCTTTTTACTTGTTTCTTTTTGTCTTGGAGTCCAACATTGTTTATGTCTTGGTCTGGAAATTTCAACCAAGGGTCTTAGCAAGTCTCCGATTTTTCCATATTACCTTTAACCCTTAGTAGAATAGGTAATTGTGAAGATGAACTCTCTGAAAAAACCTGGCTGTCGGCCATCTGTCCACTGACAGGCTACCAACAGGCTACCGACAAGCTACTGACAGGCTGCCAACAGGTTACTTAACAGATTACCAACAGTTTTTTTTTTGAAGCAGAGAGTTTGCTCTAGAATAGACAGGAACAGTGTAGTAAACCCAATCAAAACAGGTTCAAAATAATACCAAACTCAAATGTTAAATAAATACATCTTATCAGCAACTAACTGATCCATGGCCAACAGAAAAGTTTTTATCATTTAATACTGGTGTCCTTTGTATGGTTACAGCTAATCTAGAAACCACCTAATTAAGAGGTAAAGAGCTTTAAAAAATGTTTCATTATTCAAGGGATTGTGTTGATTGCAGGTTGTTTTGAAGGCTGGTGATATTCTGTACATTCCTCAACACTGGTGGCATCATGTCAGGTCATTTGACTGTCCAAACATTGCCATTTCCTTGTGGTTTCACCCATTTGCCGAGAAAGAAGAGGAACAAAGTTCGCTTGAAGATGATAGTGCAGATGTAAGGATCACAATTTGTTTATTAGATTTTAGCCACATTAATACGCATTCTTATTGGTTGTCAAGTTGTTTGTCAGAGGCGGTAATGTATAGTGTAAGCACTGTAACTGTTATGTAACTATTCGTTCAATACAACAATAACATATTAAGATGGATTCCGCTCAAAGTTTGAGCATTATGTGCAAAACTTGTCTACTAAAAATCTACTCATAGCACAGTAACTTTTGGAATACTATTTAAAACAACTCACTTTAGTTCATTTCTCTAAGTCACCCTAGACTGCGATTAAATTCTCAAGCATTCTTGAGAAAGTTAATGTCAAACCTCGTAAGAATGCTTAAAGCGTGTGTTATTGTGTTTTTAACTAATGCGAAATGTTTGTTTTAATTGAAACTTGAGGGCTTAAATCTTGATAAGTTATTCTTAACTGCACTGAAAATATTATCATGTCATGAGGTTTTTTTGGTAACTTAATTTTTGCCATTATTGCTCGCATGTTCTACGGAAATCATTGTAAACTCTTCACAAATAGATAAGCTTGGGAACTAGTGCCTTATACATGTAGGTTGGCAGTGGGCCTCAGCACTTCAGGCACAGTAGGGAGGTATCCATGGCAACCCTGCGTGAGGGAACCATCCCTGCAGGTAACTGCCACCTAGCACTTTCACACTGAAAAGAGTTCAGTGAGAAATTCTTACCTACACTGCAACCCTATACTTAATTAAACCCATGAACGACAAGGGCGGCAGGGCTGGGAGCAAGAGTCTGCAACAATTCGCAGACAATTTGGACTTTCTTGACAGTGGCAGCCAGAGATTGGTAAAAATCAGCTGAATATGCAAATGATCAGCAAAGATCAGTTGCAATGCGACAAAACATAACAGGTTGTGAGGCCAGAAACGAGCTATCTGTATTGAGGTCACCTCACAGGTCAAATAGGCAATTGGGGATGACCACTGGCCACATTGGCTCGAGATTAACTTTGCCTAGTAATTATTACATTTAGCCACATCAAAATCAACTAATAAGAAATTGCTCTGAAGTTAGAAGTCAATTGCAGATGCCTGCATTAAAATCACTAGTAACTTTAAAAGCATTCTGTGATATTCTTCTCAACAGAAATTTTATAGATATAAATTGCTCCATTTAACTGTTGCCATGGTTACTGTGGTTAATTCTTTTTTTCAGCCAAGTCTGTTTGAAGACATGGTGTACATATCAAAAGCCTTTGATAAACTTGTTGAGTCATATCCAGAAACAATCAAGTGTCAGTCACAAAACAAGCCAATCAAGGAAGTGTTTAGCCCCAAGTCTGATGCATGGGACACACCAAGGGAGATCCAACCCGAAGATAGTGTTGTTACTTTGGCCAGTGGACATAAGAGTAAGCTATGGAAGATGTCTTAGTCTGATTAAAATAATTCTTCTGAAAGCAGCTTTATTTGTACAATGTAGCTTTAATTTTTCCATGTTTGTTGTAGTAAACAGACATTGTTGATTGATTTTTTAACGTCAAAGTTGTTGCTACATCATGCACCTCCCCCCCCCCCAAATGTTAATTGCTTGCTGCATATCGACTCACCCCACCAAAATGTAATGTCATCTGGCAAAAAGTTGTTGTCACTCTATCCCTATGAAAAAGTACTGCTAATATCTGCCAAGGCTGTTCTCAAAGAGATCATTGTAAATAGTGTAAACAGCAACAACAACAATGCTTTATTTAAACTTAGTTACAGAATATAGCGCACAAGGTGTTAGTTAGACCAAGCCAGTTATAGATAAACATTATGAACACATTAAGTAAATAACAAAATAAGGAAAACTAAATTAAGAGACAGGATTGTTACATGATGCATCATTATTGTTGTTTCCTCAGTGCCTAAGATCGGTTTTGGTACAGCTGGTTTGTTTAAAGACACCAAGTCTTCTGTTTTAGTGGCCCTTACTTCTGGATACAGGTACTGTATATGTTAAATTACCAGTTCAGTATTTCCTAGTACATTAAAATATAGCCTGCCAGCAGGTTCTTATGTGTTGCAGCAGGAGCAAAGTCAATGAGCAAAGTCCCAAGAGATGTGTCAGTGAGCGAAGCAAGCTAGTGAGGGGCCTAGCAAGAAAAATGAGAGCCTGCACGGAAGGGATTGTTTTCTGAATGCAGTGTGTTTGCCCACGAATGCAGCACTTCCACAAGATGTGACTGAAGATCATTTGCCTCCGTTGACTCACCTTTGATATTTATTTTTTTAAACTGTAAACCCCTGTAGACCATGCTGAATTATGTACGCTAATATTTCAAAATCAGGGTAGTTTTTCACATGCTTTATCTCTGAAACGAAGTGGGTGACCCCCAATTTTTTTTGCATTTCTGACACAAGTAACTCATTATCTGACTGCAGTAAAATTTTAAAAAAAATCTATCAACTGGAAAGTTTTCGCGTGAACGTCCTTAACACCTGTATGGAAGTAAAACGATGCAGCAAAGCTGGCAAACTGCTGTGCTCTTCTTAGCAAGCCCTATGGATATAATTTACCAGGTTCAGATATTCAAATGTTATAAAGATATTCAGAGCAGAAAAACATACTGCACAGCTTTCTACATGTACTTGCGGGCTCAGAAAATAAATTTATTTGATGACACTACTTGGGTCATTAGTCAGAGAAGACATATAAGTGTGACTAGTGTGTTACATTTCATAATGATAGGAAAAAAACAAATCTCCTCCAGCAAAAGTTACATATTAAAAAATGTGTGGTTGTTTAGTTTGGTTCACACTACATGTTCACCAAATGTAGCGGCGGAGTTTATTTATTTATGGGTCCTTGTACCTCTTAGACATTCCAGGACCTGAAGCATCTGATTTTGTTTGTATTTTCAGGATGATCGATTCTGCTCAAGCCTATGAAGAAGAGCAGGTGGGAGCAGCAGTGCAAGAAAGTGGAATCCCAAGAGAGGACATATTCATTGTATCCAAAGTTCATCCTCGTTTCCTGGGACATGATGAAACACTCAAATCTGTAGAAGAGACTTTAACAAAGTTGAAGGTACTGATATATTACTTAACAGTCGATTTTTGGTTTCATTTGGGGACTGCTAAACATGTCAGAGAGAGCTGCTTTCCTTCTCTAGTTCAGGATCTACAAAAGTGTATTATGGTCATCTTTTGCAAATAAAAATGCCCTTCAAAATGTATTGAAAGTATTGGATAACAGGATTTTAGTTAGATGGGTGTCCAGGTTTCCTGTTGATGCCCACTTTTGAAGAAAATTGTTTTATTTTTCATGAGCAGACCCTATAGCACATTCTGGAAACCCACTTTTCAAATCCTGGCTAATAAGCCTGTTGGATAATAATAACCTGCCAATAATTTGTCTAATTACTTCGTTTATTTAATGTTTTGCTGGAGCTCTTTAAATAATTCAATCAACCAATCAATCAATCAGCTGACCAACCAACCAACAGTTAAACCAGCCTGCCTGTCAGACAGTCAGTCAGTTAGTCAGTCTGTCCATCCGTCCGTCCGTCCGTCCATCTGTCCATCAGTCAGTAGGTTTGTCTTTTGGTCAGCCAGTCACTCACCCATTCATTCATTCAGTATATTCACTGTTATTTGTTTCCTTTTACTGCCATAGGTTGATTACATCGATCTGATGTTGATTCATTCCATGGACTGTGATCAGGGGCCTGGGGCCCTCTTGATTTGCCAGAAAGGGGAGCCCAAGGGAACATGGGAAGACTCATGGAAAACTCTTGAGTCGCTTGTTGAGAAAGGTTAGAAGTTTAAGAAGGAGATTTGAAATTCATTTATCATATCTTTGCTCCACATTTTTGTTTGCAGAAATTTCAGGCAAAGAGATGTGATCTTTAAATGACTGTCATAGTACATAAAATGGAGATAAAGAGACCAAATAGTTTGTAGGCTGGATGCCGGACTTAACCATCTGGGTTCGAGCATTGTTGTCTGCGACTCTTACAGTGTGTGTCTCCACATAGGGGTTTTCGGTTTTTCACGCATTATTGTTCTTGGATGCAGACAAGACATGATCTACAATGTGGATCCTCCTCTTTTGATACATATTATTATCTTTCAGTTGTTGATGACTGTAGAAGGGCAGTTACTCGGAGCTTTTTATGATCATCTTATCTATTTCATGATGTGTGTCGCCTTCCAGGAACAATCCGCAGTATTGGTGTCAGCAATTTTGAAGTTCAAGACCTGGAACGCTTGCTTGAGATCTCCAAAGTTCATCCTTCAGTGGTTCAGAACTCTTTTGACCCCTTCAACCAAGATCGTGTAACTCGAGAATTCTGCGAAAGAAATCATATTCAGTACATGGGACACAGGTACTAAATAAAACGTGAAGTGTATTCAGTACGATTACCACGGTAAACGATCGCAACATTTCGACGCAACGTATCGCAACATTAAAGTGAAGAATGATCATCGCAGTAAATTTTCCAATTTAAGCAATTGGAAAGAAGAAGCCTGAAAANCGCCCAACAATGTTGCGATATGTTGCGTTGAAATGTCGCGATCGTTTGACCGGGGCTTTACGTAACACCCGAGTTGTTGAAAAAAAAGGTTGCTTTGAAGTTCTGAGACATTTTTTAACACTGACGACTGAACAAAAGGATTGTTGTTGATACCCCGCAGGAAATTGGGAGTTTCTTGTTAGAGGCTATAATTTGAAGGTTTCCTTTTTTGTGTGAAAGATAAAAACTGAGGAAGCAAAGAAAAAGTTGTAGTTGCAAATTGGTCAAAAGTCACAGAAAAAGACAAAAAGTCTGGCCGCATAAACACTAGGGGTGTTTCCCGGGGGTGTTCTCCAGCCCAGCCCACACGAATCCTACGACAGTGTAAATAATTTTGCTCTTCAAGAAAGCGAGAACCTATACCTCAACACCGCCAATCGTTAAATAAAACTCGTTTTTTTTCTTTTATCTCCACACAGCACTCTTGGCGATTCTTGGAAAAGAGATGGCCTGCCTCTAAATCCTGTTCTTTCCGATGAAGGCCTTAGAAAAATATCCTCCAAATTCGACGCGTCCATCCCTCAGGTTGTTCTCAAATGGTCATTAGAGAACGATGTTATTGTCATTCCCCGCTCTCGCAATCCGAATCACATCAAAACAAACTTGCATTTGGCTCACGTTCTGCTCACCGAAGATGACCGACAGTACATCGAGGATCTTGATGGAAAGATAATCGTGCCCAACGACAATCCTCCGTTCGACTCCCGATCAGAGCCGAGCATTTCCGGTCAACAAGGTACCGACGAGGAGAGGATCTCAGAGCAGAAAACAGACAATATCAATGATAAAGTCGTTTTCGTAGAGAGAGTTAATCCCGAAGATTCTACGTTGTACTTGAGTTCAGATGATCATTGGATTTACGCGTTTGACGCCGCCACGGGAAAGTTGAAATGGAAATATGGAACTGCGGATGAAGGTGGTTCAAAATGCGTTTTCAACTCTGATGAGACGGTTGTGTACTGCGGAACTGACGACAAGTCACTGCGCGCGCTCAACGCTGCCGACGGTAGCCTTATTTGGAAGTTTTCCACAGGAGGAGCGGTGACGTCGTCAACCCGAGTTGGTGCCGACGGCAGCCTCTATTTCGGATGTCTTGACGGGTATTTTTATGCAGTCAATTCTGACGGCTCCTTGAAATGGAAGAAGAACTTGGGCGTAGAAATCTGGTCATCTCCTGCTCTTCTTGAAGGCGGTAAAGCTGTATTCGTCGGCTCAATGGCTGAAGATTCGGCAAATGTTTTCTCGCTCGATGGCCAAACTGGTGAAACGATTTGGAAGTACGAGACGGCAGGACCGGTGTTCTCTTCTCCCACAGTTAGCCATGATAGCAAGGCTGTGTTTTTCTGTTCTTTTGATGCAAACTGCTATGCTTTTAACACTGAGGACGGTCGGCAGCTTTGGATGTTTGAAGGCGACTCCGCGTTTCAGTCGTCACCAGCTGTCAGTAAACTGGACGGAACTCTTTTTGTCGGATCTTCACAAGGAAATATTTACGCGATCGACTCTTCAAATGGACAAGTGAAGTGGACAAGGGAAGGTGAGAATACGGAAATTCCAAAAGTACAGGTTGATCCAACAACCACATTTTAAATGCTTTAAAATGTTTCAGTTTCACATGTAAAGTTGTTTTTATTTAGGAATTGATCTCGATCTTTCTTATCTTATCAGAACTTTGGTTGTTTCCCCTGATTTTATTTTAAAGAGAGGAGTTTTTTTTTTCTTTTTTTTCTTTTTTTGACGTTTAAATGATCTCATATAGAATTACGAGCTTTACGTAAACAACAATTACCGGAAGCGGAAATAGAAATACCATGACGTAGACGTATAGTGTTTTTATAAGTAAAATTTAGCCAGTTGATTAGCTGTGCAAGGCATGGCAAGCCGCGATCGTCTAGTGGTTAGGACCCTGCGTTGTGGCCGCAGTAACCCAGGTTCGAATCCTGGTCCCGGCATAGGTATTTTTTTTTTCCATCATTCTTTTTTCTTCTTTAACATTTTAGGTTTATTATTATTATTATTATTTTTAGAAGTATTCTTATGACCTTTCAGCCTTTTCTACCAAGAGAAATTTAAAAACTCTTTCACAATCGAGTATAATAAAGCCGCGCGGGTTTTCTTTAGAGTTTTANCAATGGAACTTCTGGCATTGTCCCTGGCACCTCCAATGGAACTTCTGGCATCGTCCCTGGCACCTCCAATGGAACTTCTGGCATCGTCCCTGTTACCTACAATGGAACTTCTCGTATTGTCCCAGGCACCTCCAATGGAACTTCTGGCATCGTCCCTGTTACCTACAATGGAACTTCTCGTATTGTCCCAAGCACCTCCAATGGAACTTCTGGCCTTGTCCCCGACACCTCCAATGAAACTTCTGGCATGGTCCCTGGCACCTCGAATGGAACTTCTGGCATCGTCCCGGGCACCTCCAATGGAACTTCTGGCTTCGTCCCTGGCACCTGCAATGGAACTTCTGGCATTGTCTCTGGCACTTCCAATGGAGCTTCTGGCATTGTCCCTGGCATCTCTAATGGAACTTCTGGCATTGTCTCTGGCACCTCCAATGGAACTTCTGGCAATGTCCCTGGCACCTCCAATAGAACTTCTGGCATTGTCTTTGGCACCTCCAATAGACCTTCTGGCGTCGTCCCTGGCACCTGCAATGGAACTTCTTGGATCGTTCCAGGGACCTCCAATGGAACGTCTGGTATTGTCCCTGGCACCTCCAATGGATTTTCTGGTGTTGTCCCTTGCACCTCCAATTGAACTTCTGGCATTGTCCCAGGCACCTCCAATTGATTTCTGGCATTGTCCCAGGCGCCTCCAATGGAACTTCTGGCATTGTCCGTGGCACCTTTAATGGAACTTCTGGCAGTTTCCCTGACACCTACAATGGAACTTCTGGGATTGTCCCTGGCACCTCCAATAGAACTTCTGGTATTGTCCCTGGTACCTCCAATGGAACTTCTGGTATTGTCCCTGGCACCTCCAATGGGTCTTGTTGCATTGTCCCTGGCAGCTCCAATGGAACTTCTGGCATTGTCTCTGGGACTTCCAATGGAACTTCTGACATCGTCCCTGGCACCTGCAATGGAACTTCTGGCATTGTCCCAGGCACCTCCAATGGAACTTCTAGTATTGTCCCTGGCACCTCCAATGGAACTTCTGGCATCGTCCCTGGCACCTCCAATGGAACTTCTGGCATTGTCCCTGGCACCTCCAATGGAACTTCTAGTATTGTCCCTGGCACCTCCAATGGAACTTCTGGCATCGTCCCTGGCACCTCCAATGGAACTTCTGGCATTGTCCGTGGTACCTCCAATGGAACTTCTGGCATTGTCCCTGGCATCTCCAATGGAACTTCTGGTATTGTCCGTGGCACCTCTAATGAAACTTCTGGCATTGTCCCTGGCGACTGTAATGACAATTCTGGTATTGTCCCTGGCACCTCTAATGGCAATCGCTAGTATTTTCCCTGGCATCTCTAATGGTAATTCTTGTATTGTCCCTGCACCTCTAATGGCAATTCTGGTATTGGCCCTCGCAGCGTAGCAGACAACCCTGTCATCTCTAGTATCTATCCCTACACTGTACAACAAGAGGGGGAGCAGAAAACAGAAAGTCCACATGACTTCTTTTGCCGAATTGTGAATGAGTTCCCACCAGACATAATGGAACCAACAGAGATGCTTAGATATCAGCGGAAGAAAATTGTTTCTGGGAGACCATTAGAGGTAACCAATTCATCACGAATCCTTGAAGGAGAGACCAATTTCATAACTGTAGACAGACATAATATTGTGGAAACTACATTTGAGGAACTAAAGCATGTATTTGATCCGAGGGTCACCTTTGAAGTTCAGTTTTATGGTGAGCAAGCTGTTGACAGTGGTGGGCCTCCCAAGGAATAGATAAGACTATGCAATCAAAAGATCAAAGACACTTACTTTGATAATGGCCTCAAAGAGCACATGTCTGAAGATTACTACTATATTGGTCAAATGGTCTGTATTGCTCTACCTCAAAATGGCCAGTTGCCCATGTACATACCTGAGGAAATACTGCAGGCCATTTTTATTGAAGATCTGGAATTGCCTCCTTGTGTCAGAGAGCTCAAATATGGTATGGATACTTTAGGAATTCCCATGTTTGGAAGGAAATTTCCCATGCTTCTTTATCTTCTGAGGCCATCTAGCATTATCAGTTTATCAGTTCGACATCTTTTGTTCTTGTTGAAACCAGATTTCTCAGAGGAAGGATCCAACATGCTCATTCATGAAAAAGCTATCTACAGCAAATTTGTGTAATATGTTAGAGTGTGTCAAGTGGCCGCAGTGTTGTCACCCTTGGAAATGTACTTGAATTTGTCACTGGAACAAGTGAAGAACCACCCCTTGGTTTTGCAAAGACACCACAAATTCACTTTCCAGAGGCTGAAGTGAGAGAGCCCTTGATGACTACAGATGAGGTAAGAAATAAGTACTAAGTACAGGTACTGACAGTTTTTGAAAATTTAAGTCAGATCCACAAAGATAATATTTATAAGTTGAGCTGTAAAAGAAACATAAATCCCAAAATCATTTTTAATATAGGATAACAGATAGGGCAGGTAAAATGTGCAAAACCAGCTGTGGTGATGAAAGGATTAACCATAATTTAAATTATACTGACCTGTAAAAGCCAATATTAGCAGTCAGCATGTCTTGGAACACACTCCAACCAAATCCATTTCTCATGTGGAAGGCAACTACTTTATAGTTTATTATATCTTATTATACATACAGAACATGTGTGTATGAATTTCTAATAATGGAGATGGCATGTTTAATGGTAACAATAGTTTCCACCTTTTTCCAGATCTATCGCTACTGATATGACTTAAGCATGCATATGAGTATTTGGTTTATACAATAGTACTCACAATATTACTGACTCTAGGGAAGACTTGTCAGCTTCAAACATAATCTGTACTCTTCCTTTGCAAGTTATGATGTACTTTTTTTCTCCTTGTTACTTTCTGATTTATCTTTATGTACCACATACATGTACACTCTAACAGCTACCACATAATAATTTCCTTTTTCAGCAGGTAACTGAGGAATCAGGAGAACAACCTCAAAAGAAGAAACCCATTTGGCATTTCATCCCAACTTCTCATACCTGTTCAAACACATTGGATTTGCCAAGAGGAAATGCAGTTCTCCCCCTCCCATCAGATGATGAACTATTCAAACTGTATGACCTAGCTTTCAAGAATAGTTAGTTTGGTGCTATGTAGATCAAGGAGTTAACAATCTGATTTTTCCACTGCTGCTTGGCAACACCAGCCACTATGTTTATAACAGTGAGTCAAGCGTTGTAACCAGCCATGCAGTTCACTTTTGACCTGTGTTGGTTTCTGTGCATAATCTTCATGCACTGTACTAAATATCGAAACACTAGAGTGGATTTACTTTAACTGTGAAATAGTTACTAAGCAATTTTATGCCATAACACTAATTCCATTGTTTTCTTTTGTTTAGTTTTGACTATTTATCACCAATGGTGGGAGACTTTCACAGTTAAAATAAAATCACTCCAACAAATTGTGTCTTTTAGTGGACAATTGTTTGCACCTTCATTAATTTTGTTTTCCTTTGTTTAAAATGTTACAGATGCATTTTCATTTTCATTTTCCTTTGTTCCATTTATTGTCTTAATTTAAAACAAAGGAAAATAAAACTCAAACTGATTTTAAAAAAGTTGTTTCTTATCATTATGTTTATTGATTCTTGTATAATACTCAGCCACTAGTCTTTGACAGTGGCAGTAGACACTAAAAATATCAAACAAAAGGATAATGTTATTACATCATCATAATAACAGTACACGTAACTACAAAGTGCAAGGTTATTTTTATTAGGCAGCACTTGCTCCTTGCAATGTATTGTAATCTAAATCCAAGTTTACATGTACAATTTTTTTTGCTTTTTGCTGTTACTGTTTTAGCAAATTCATTGTTCCAGGGTTACCTATAACCTGTCAATAGCTGAGTTCTTCAGATGCTGTTGAAAGGCCCATTTTCACCCATATGGCTTTGTGACTGTGTGTTATTGTTTTAAAGTAATCAGCTTCTTTCCAAACAATAAAAGCAATCAAAAAGCCAAGTGAGAGAATATGAGCCTTAAGATGGCTGGTAGCACTTTATAGCAGTTTCCAGTTATTACACTTGAATGGGTCAGTACTACAGATCTTTATCAGTGGCTGCTACAATAATGGTATCAAACAAGTGCCCAGTCATTGCTAAATAAGTTGTAGTATTACTGGTTACCATAACAACAGCATAACCTGTTTAAAACACCCTTACCTTAACTTGTGAATCATAACTCAATAATAACAAATGGAGGTCACTAAGCTTCTTTTTTTGCCTTAAAAACGCTTATAGCTAAAATTAAGTGTGTTTTTACAGGTTATGCTATTGTTATGGTAACCAGTAATGTGAAGAAAACAACCACATTTTGTTCAGCACTGGCTGTTGTTCAATGCCAGTATTGTAACAGCAACTGAGAAATGTTTGGTACACCATATTATAAGAGCTGGACATTGATGGAAACTGCTACTAGCCACCTTAAGTTGAAGGAATAAGAAAGGGAAATACCAGTTTTTTAAACTGACATGAAGCTAGTTACAGAATGTTAAAATTTGATGATTAAGGATCATAACAAAACTCGTAAGTGCACAGCTTAAGACTATTGTTAGCTGCCTTAATGCAAAAAGTGCTTGTACACATTTTTTTTCTGCTGTTACCTTTTTAAAATTTTCATTGCTCAATAAGGGTTACCTATTAACTATTAAGAATTGTGTTCTTAAGAGATGTTGATAAAGTTGAAGTGAATATCAATAAAGCAATGCTCCATTAATAATATTATTGTGACGCATAAGTTCCAGAATCAGCAAGTTGTTCATGTCTCTGGAATACTAGTTCTGAAGCTTCAGTATAGATATCTCCACCCATTTCAGTTGATGGTCTCAGCGGATCCAGATGTTCCAAAACAAATGACTTCCGTAAATCTCCATGGCTAAGATCCACAGGGTCATTGACAACATGATTATCTCTCCCAGTGGGAGATGGTCCCTGGGGTCATATCCATATATTTCCATATCAGATGGCTCTTCGTCTAGCAGTCCATGTGCTAGTGGATTGTCAGCATGGAACATGCCATTTGCCCACATTTGGTACGGTGACCAGTTTCCCTCTGTGCGTACTTTGTGGTGATTAAAGGCTTCACAAAACTCGTCAAGTGCTTTGTTGATTTTTGGAATGAAGATTACGTGACGAGTAAACACATGAATTGGATTATCTGCGTTGGGGATACCAGTGGACTCCATAGCATAGAATAGATAGTAATACAAGTAACATACACATCTAAAGACATCTCTCCATAATCTTTCAATGCGTCTCAATGCGCTGGTTGTGTGTAGAGGGACCAGCAATAAAACTCCCCCTTCCCTCCCCCCTAGCTTGAACCATGGCATCACACACTAGAACATTTTCAGCACCCTTATCCACTCTTATTCTTGATGGCCAAAGGTGTCCATCACGATTTATGGTATCTAAGAACAGATCAAGTACAGTTCCCGCAAGATTGTTTGAGTTACATCTCAGAAACATTATTCTTCTCGAAAAGCCATCAATGCATCCGTGAATAACAATTTTCCAGCGTATCAGTGCATGATGTCCGTCTAGGTGCCACAGGGAGTTTGGTCATGGTACCTGATAAGTCCTGCGTGAAATAACGCCCCATCGTAGTGCAGTATTCTGTGGATCCACTCTTGCCATGCTTTCTCTTATCCTTTTTCTTTGAATTCTAAAGCCAAGCGCGTCAAAATATTCATTTAATCCCAGGGACTGGGTCAACCCATGGTATCAGAAAGATAAGAGCCTGGGAAAGAGGCATTGCAATATGGCGGACGAGGAAGGTTTTGACATTGGAAGGGACCTGCCAGTGTTTTTAGCCTCAGTTTTAGACAAAACGAAATATATATACTAGGGGTGCGGGGCCGGGGCGGGCCCCTGATATAAACAGATTAAATTAAATGAATATAGAGCGATTAAATTCAATAAATATAGACATGAAATTAAATGGATTTAAAAAATATTCCATAAATATAAATATTAAATTGAAAAAATAAAAAAATTACATACATATAAGTACTGAACTGAATATATATCAATTTATTGAATATTACTACAATCGGCTTGCTATAGGGTTAGGACACTGCGTTGTGGCCGCAGTAACCTAGGATCGAATCCTGGTGTCGGCGTAGGCAATTTTTTTTTTTCCATCATTCTTTTTTCTTCTATAACATTTCAGGGTTTTTTTATTATTATTATTATTATTATTATTATTATTGTTGTTGTTGTTGTTGTTGTTGTTGTTGCTTTTATTGTTATTGTTATTGTTATTGTTATTGGCATTGTTATCGTTATCGTTATTTTTATTTTTATTTTTAAAAGTATTCTTATGACCTCTCAGCATTTTCTCCAAAAAGAAATTTAAAAACTCTTTTACAATCGCGTATAATAAAGCCGCGCGGGTTTTCTTTAGAGTTTTAGAACACGTTCGCAAGAAAAGCTTGTCATGATTGAATTGAATCCATTTCAATCCTTCCTTTCGGTGGAGCTGTACAGCAGAATAGTTGCTCTTGAGTTTACTTTCCTGTTCGCTTTTTTTATTTTTTCTTGCTATAGATATATTTTTATATTTCGTGAAATAATTTATTCTAAATTTAATACTCTGCGGTAGGACAAGCGGTTTACCCGAAGCGGTTTTACACTTTGTTTGTTGGCCGGAATGTTTTTAGTATTTATGATTTATTTACTTCTTGCTACCAGAATTTATTTTATAATACATGCCCTAAGAGTCAGCTGTTTTACAAACGAAATGACAGTAGCGAATCTTTCTTCAAGGTGATCAAGACGACGCGTTGCGTGACATCACTGCGGCAAAGTAAAATGTAAATTTAGACGTTGGCACGTTGGGCGCAATTAAACAATTAAAAGTACTGCGGTTAAAGTGAAACATGCGTTGCTTGTTTTCTTCGATTTTGTTATTATCTGGTTCATAAGAATTAACCATGCCAGAAAAAGATATTACCTCGCGTCAAATACTTTGTTATGAAAACGATATTTTTGAGAAGATTTAAGCGGAAATTAGAACTTGGATAACATAAACATACAGGGGTTGGTGTGACAAGAGAATGTTTACTAGTGCAGTAAGGTCAGGTCATCTATGAGAAATGGTTGATCGAATGATTGGATTTCAGTCGATGTAACTTTTGCGTCAACGATTTTTTTTAATAATAATAACAATAGAATAATAAAATATTTATATAGCGCCAATCCACTATTTGTCCATGGCGCTTTACATTAAATAAAAAAAAAATATTTAAAAAGCTAAAAAAGGGGAGGGAAAAAGAAATAAAAAAATTTTTTTCTTGTTTTTAATACAGTTGGGCGGCCATGTGTGGGTCTTTTAAGAAAAGCAAATATAACAACAAAACAAAACAAAGGCCAGATGATGTCGGTTCGGTTAATTTTTTTTTCTTTGTTATTATTGTCTTAAAACAGATAAGGGTGAACTATTCTCTTCGCCATTTATCGCTCCATATGGAAATATCTACATTGGTTCAGGTCAAGGAGAGGTTCTGGCTCTTCGTCAACATGATGGCTCGCTCGTGTGGAGTTTTAAGACAAGCTCGTCAATTTGGTCGTCACCACGGTTGGATAAACGTGGTCTGTTGTTTATAGGAGGGATTGACACCTATCTGTACGCCTTGCGAGCTGATAATGGACAATTGGTGTGGAAATACAAGACAGACGGACCGGTTGTGGGAACACCGCTGATCACACGTGAGCATGCTGTGGAACAAGCCTGAAGTACACAGGGAAATTATTAAGGCTATTAAAATTGATGAATTTGGTCAAATTTTATTCGCGGATGTCTCATCATCATCATCATCATAATCGTTTGTCTGCCACACCATAAATAAAAACATACGGTGATAAAATTTTCATAGGGTCAGGAGACCTCCAAAAAACACCAAGCTTATAGGCAGGCAGGCTAGTGTGGACAGCTGCCACCAAGAACTGAACTAAGAAAGAAAACAGACAGTGACGTCCAATGCTTGAGAGAAAATTGAGTAAAATGTCCCACGATAATATACCATACTTAAATTAAAGTATGACAGTCTTAAGGCAAGTATGATATCCTCACTTGGTATGACAAAAAATAAGAATAATTAAATAAATTAGCTGGTTTTCATGCAGGTCCTCTGTCGTGATCAAATTGGAATTTGAAGATGTTGGTTTTTGTGCAGGGGGGAAGACCATAGTACCTGGAAAAAAATCCTCGGAGTAAGGCGAGAACCAACAACAAACTCAACTCACATATGGTACCAAGCTGGAACAGAACCTGGGACACATTAGTGGGAGGCGACAGCTCTCACCACTGCGCCATCCCTGCTCTCCAATAAAGTACAAAACCTCAGGTGCAACTGAGAATGTCTTACAGAAGCACCTGCACCGGGCCAAGCTGTACCTCATGTTTCTTTACACTACTAACCTGTTGAGAAGATAAAGACATGATTTATCTCTATCAGAAATTGTTACCTTGTCCCCCTGTCCCCCATCATCCTAAATTTTTGCAATGAACCCCCGCGATTATTTTAAAAGTAAAATTAAATATATTTATAACCAAATAGAACCACCCCCACATTATACACCATACATTTTGTGTGGTCCTCCTTAGAAGCCATATATTCTTGACATGGTCCCCTAAATCTCCTCACAGTGGTCGCTTGGCGCAAATGGCATGCCACAGGCAACCCAACCATAGAATGTTTAACAAACAGTGAACCGAATCTCAGATTGAAGAGTAACTACGTCCCCCATTCGTGGCCCTATTTTTAGTACTTCAGATTTTCTGCTACCACAGTGAACTAGACAGGAGTGAAACATGTTTTTTTTACTTTTCTTTTTTCTTTTTTTTTTTTTCTTTTTTTTTTAATACAGCTATAATTGGCAAAAGCGCACACCCACACCCGACCTTATTATTAAATCACACCTTGATATTGGTGAATATATACTGTCCCTACTACTATTAAAATTCTACTAGGAAGCTTCAAGTTTATTCGACATCGTTTACCAGCATCGTCTGAAGCANTTTTTTTTTTCTTTTTTTTTTAATAAAGCTATAATTGGCAAAAGCGCACACCCACACCCGGTTACCTTATTAAATCACACCTTGATATTGATGAATACATACTGTCCCTACAGTGGGCTGGAAAATGTTACTATTACATGTAAAATTCTACTAGAAAGCAACAAGTTTATTTACACATCGTTTACCAGCATCGTCTGAAGAAGGAGCTCAGGGGCAGGTCTTTAAAAATTCTGGCATTCAGCGAACTGAAATGGAGCTAATCCAGACGAATTCTAAATCAGGAAAGCCAGTAAGGACGACTCGAATTCAAATTGATTGTTAACAGTTGTACTACAGGATCACGTGCGCTTTTGAAATTTAAAACAGAATCCATGTATTAATCGACACCTAAGGTCAATAACAGCTAAAGCTATGGTTAATCTTCTCTTCACATAAAAGTAACAGAGATGACCGTGGACCAATTTCGGATAAATCCGTTAAGGGTCTGTTTGCAGTTTGGAGGGCGTGGCGTAAATTCAGTTTTAAGTGTAAGAAGTACCAAGATGGTTGCATCCAACACACTGGGCTACCTGAAGATTACTGAATTGGACTAAACGAGATAAATTCCACCAAAAGTTATCTCCGGTTACTCTAAATGTGGCAATAAAATCACTAGGGGAAATAGAAGATGCATCAGCGTTATTCCTCTAAAAAGTGCACCTGAGCTGTCCTCCAGGTTGCAAAGCTAACGTTTACAGAGTTAAACGGATAAGTTCAGCTGTCTTGTTATGTGAATTAGGTTCAAAGCTAATTTATTTACGGAGCATGCGCTCCTGAGGAACTGAACGAGAAAACAGCAGTATTGCAGAAACAGACCCTCCCCCATTATAGCAAAAGATTCTCAAGCACAAATGTTCGGGAAATGCCTCAGAAACATCTTCTTTGAAAAAAGCTCCCAATGTTAATCTGAAACAGGCGTTTTCCGCGTAGCTAAACTGGGAAAAGGATCTTTCAGCAGCAACAATGTTTCCTCTTTCACCTTAACTTACAACTGATTTCAGTACAGTGTCTAGACCCGAGTTCTCAAACATAATTTCGACAATAATCACTTGGCGCTGGCAAGTTTGCTGAAGTTCTGACACAATCTCTATGGAACCTGCCCCATGTTGAACTACATATTTGTACCGTACGTATCGATATAGTTGCTAGAGACGCGAGGTTAGATACTGTATAAGCGAATCATGACAAACGAATCACGTTTCGTTGGAAACGCACTTCAAGACAATGTAATGAAACCAGCTGTAAATGTTCTTTGTCTTGCGAAACACAAACTTCATGAGACTTTAAAAGAGCTTGCAAGTCGGGGCCAGATTAACTACAAACTCCTTGAGTCAGCCCACAAAATCGCTAACTTCTTCTACAACTCAACGTTCTCTGAAAAACTAAGCAACTTTCTCTGAGCTTACTACATGCAACTACATTTCAGACAATCTATTTAACTACACAAAATAACTACAAAGATTGCAGGCAAACTGAACTTCGTTATCTGTCACCCAAACTATATGGTCGCACTACCTACCAAGTTCTTTGGACACGGCAACTCAACAGACCACAAAGTTCTTTGTCACGACATCCAGCTACAAGGTTTTTGTCACACCAGCGACCAACGACAAAGCTCTTTGTCACACAATCTTTGTCACACCAACTAAACGAAACGGATGTTCTTTGTTACGCGTGAAGCTAGCCTCAAAGATCTTTGTCAAGGCAACTAATTCTTTTATCTTGGAAACTGACTACAAATCCATGGTACCAGTAATTGTTATTTAGTACGTATGTAGAATCTTCTTTCACTTTTTAGCCTAGTGTTTATAAGTGGTTGAAAAAAACGACATGATCGAACAACTAAGCAGTCAGATATAAAGCCAGATCAAATCAAATCAAATAGAAGTAAAAATAAGAGATCAGTACCGTTCATAATTCAGTCCGACAAGGTAAGCATCTTATGAGCCAGTCTGCACCAGCCTGGGAATCCATCCTTCTGTCCAACGCCACTGATCCACTGCAGAATCCAAGGGGACACATAATGCGCGGCGCGAACAACACCCATCGCTCTGTGGGACCACTCATGAGACAGCACATCAAAGTAACACGAGGTGTGCACATCGTTGACCAGAATGGTGCCACTGAGGGTCACTGGGGCGTAAACACCTTTCTCGTAGACCTTGCTGATGTTCAGAACTGCATCCTTCTCCACACTATGGTCTGCTCTCACGTACAGAATATCTCCGACTCTCACATCTCTGGCAGGGATGGCTGTTGCTTTGCCAGTCTTCTCTACAAACAGCAGATGATCTTCAGTGATCTTCAGGACGTTGTTCTTCTCAGTTTTGATCTGGAGAAATTCTTGCATAACTTCTAACTGACGGTGGATGAAGATGATCACTGGTTCTGCCTGGATCTCGTTGTTGATGATCACCTGCACCTCGTCACCAACTTCTAGAGAATCCATTTGTCGTCTACGGCCATGTTTGTCAACGAAGATGGCTGACCCAGGATAGCATCCTCCGTCTTTTATCTCTCCTTTGATTTTTGTTCGAACTTTATCCTCGATCTCTTTTCGCTTTGTTCTTTCTTTTTCCTCCTTGTCATTAATTTCTTGTTGGAGCTGGGCCCTACACTCTTGAAGTCGTCTTTTTCCAGTGGGGCTCAACTTCGGATCTTTTAAATCCTTGTCAATGTCTTGTACTTTCTTTCTCAATGTTTGTAAATCACGCTTGTATCCAGTGGCATTCAACGCCTCTTCAATCCCTTTCGCAGCTTTCGTTTTAGAATTGATGAAGGGCTTTCCCTCAGTCATCTTGTCAATTACCTAAGGAACAGAGAGCTTGATTATTTCAGTACCTCGCCTGGTGTAATCGTGATATCATTCACCCTCCGCAAGAGTCGTCTCGAAAAACGTTTTACATTAAGATACTACAGTATGTAAATCGGATAATCATAATCATAATCATCATCATCATCATCATCATAATAATAACTATAATATTTTTTTAAATAATAATAACAAAAATATTATTATCCTACAAAAATGAAATGCGGAATATTCACAGAGCGAAACAGTGTGCTACGAAATATTAAACTCCTGAGAGCTGAGAGTCACTCGTCCAAAATTCTACTGTTCCGGTGAAATAATTAAACATAATAATACAACAATTGAAGAGAAGGAATTCGATACACTCTGTTCATTAATAATAATAATAATAATAATAATAACAATTTATTTCTTACGCATTACATCAGGAAAATCTCAATGCTCTTACAAAAATAGTAATAATTTAGGATCCATTGAAACCTTTACAATAATTAATTATAATGTAAAACAAACAAAGAACTAGATCATCATGCACAAAGATTAAGTAAAAAAGTTTCAAGTCTATTTTTAAAAATATCAACGGACGGGGCGCTCCTCACGTCTAACGGAAGGTCATTCTAAAACGTGGGTGCACAAGATGAAAAAGCACGACCACCATATATAGTTCTTTGTCCTAAAAACCTGCCTGTATAGTCGCAGGTTGTTAGTAGCGTTTGAGCGAAGGCGCCTATTCGGTTGATGTAAAACTGGCAAATCGGTCAAGTACTTAGGAACGAGGCCATTTAAAACCTTGCGGGTAATTAGAATTATTATACATTGAACTCACTACCTCTTTTTTGATTGGCCGAAAGCGTACAGTGAATTTTCGAAATCAGTGTCTGTGACGTCATCTAGCTGCAGATTACACAATAATCATGTCAAGGACACTCCAGGTCACGGGTAATCATGTTATGTGTGACCTCGGTGCATGATTTCCAAGGGTAATCATGCCAAGTTCGCGCGCTTTGTGTTGCTTGCCGTCAGTGAAGAAGCAAAAACATGACTTCCATTTTTTTTTTCGTTCAATGTATAATAAAAAAATTATTAGATTCGGTTCTTGTGATATCCAGAATAATCAAGGCTCAGTAAGGGTTATCAGCCGAAGCCGAAGGCTTCGGCTGATAACAATTACCTCAACCTTGATTATTCTGGATATCACCAAAACCTCATCCAATAATTGTTTAGAATCTTAAAGGTGATACGTTTATACACAGGCAGTCAGTGGAGTTTACGGAGAATTAGCGCGATGAAAGGTGGTGATAAATGTCAAACTAAATGATAATGAAATGCTGTTCGGTTTTTCACGAACGTTGGATAATCGAAAAATCCAGATTCCTGTATAGGATTCGAACCATCTTTATACCGAACCACTGAGCAAGTGAGAACTCCTGACGAGATAAGTCATTTCAGCGATTTTTTCCACACACAACACTTTGGCATCCCTAATCTAGAAAGTATACGCAGGGCGCAAAGAACGTGGCAAAATGATCTAACTCCGCACCAGTTCTTTGATGTGCTGTTGGAAACCTATCCGTGGTGTTCACATAGAGAATAAAATTTTAAGCAAAAGTATGGTTTAGAACTGGGAATCTGACACACTATGGTCTAGGAACTGGGATTTGCCAAATTCGGGTTGGAAACTGAATCAATTTTTCAGTTTTTATGGCCTTACATAATTCTTTTATATGAGCCGTACCGCCTTACCTCTTACCTCAATCAGTTGTAGTCGCTGTTTTTGATAAGCCTCCGGATTCTCGTCGGCATCCAGAATATTGTTGAACAAGACTTTTCGATTACCAATTCGGCAGATAAAATCTTTCACCCATTCTGGCATACCAGTGAGCCACTGCTCTACGTAGTCGTCGACCGAGGAGACTTTCTTCTTTCGTGCATTACGTTCAGCTTCATCACCACGTGTGAAAAGCATGATCATGTGACCTTCGGCTTCTTTCCCCATAAAGGCTGTAAGCAATTTCAGTGCTTCTCCATCCTCGGCAGTAAACCGCTCGCCAAACTTAGATACAAGAATGATGGCATCAAAACCATCTGGAGCCTTAGTGTACATATTTGTTAATTCTCTTAAAACTTTTTTTTGATCCTCTCTATACGCAGGCAACCAGGCACCCCAGCTATGCATCTTTTTCACAATATTTGTATCTAAAATTCCAGGGGTGTCTATCACGGTAATGAGTCTGCCGTTAATGGTACCATATCCATCCCGACAGAATTCCGTTTCAGACTCAGCACCATCACTGGTAGGGAACGTCTCTGCGTCGTCGCTGGCGCCGACTATTTTGTTACCAGCAGCACTCTTCCCATTTCCAGTTTTTCCAAGAAGAACAACAGTCAAAGGTTTACCAGTACACTTCTAAATTAAAATTATCAATTCTAAGAGTTAGAAAGTAGATAATGGCGGAACAATAGTTTAGGGCCAAATACTGGATTTTACGAAAGGCGAAAGTTTTGATGCCAAATCCCCTTGAGCCAAATCATGTTCTACAACATAATAGGTTAGCATTAGCGAAAACAAGATGAAAAAGAACCTCATACTGGGTTATGTGTTCAGCGATGCTTCACTGTAGTGGGCACATTCAATTTTATTTAGGATGCAAATAGCTAAAGACTATAACCCTACCAATCAAAGCGTTAATCAGGCATGAGAACAAAGGACATATTAATGTTAAAACCCCACGTACGGGTCTCATTCTAACTATAACATCCACTGACCCCCGATTTAAATGTATTTTGTAATATCCATACGAGAATTACCAAGTAAACCGAGTTTTAAAACATTTAATTGTTTGTTATTTTTGGATCTAATCACCTGCACATAACTATCAGGAATGAATCCACTTTTTCCTCTTGTATGCCTTGCCATCCTCCTTCCTTTTGGTGTTCTCTAAGAGGAACAAGAAATTTGATACAATATTTACAGTCANGATCTTCAGGATGTTGTTCTTCTCAGTTGTGATCTGGAGAAATTTTTGCATAACTTCTGGCTGACGGTGGATGAAGGTGATCACTGGTTCTGCTCGGATCTCGTTGTTGATGATCACCTGCACCTCGTCACCAACTTCTAGAGAATCCATTTGTCGTCTACGGCCATGTTTGTCAACGAAGATGGCTGACCCAGGATAGCATCCTCCCTCTTTTTTGAGCTTTTGTTGTATTGCCTGCTCAGTCCTTTTTCGCCAAGCATCTTCTCTTTTGTCATATTCTTCGATTTGCTTCTCGATCTCGTTTCGAGACTCTCGAAGATTTTTCTTCTCGCTGAAGCTAAGTCTATCTTCCTGCCTTAGGTCTCTGTCAATAATTTCTAATCGCTTCATTAAATCTTCTCTTCCATCTGTGTATCCGGCTACAGCCAGTGTGTCCTCGATCCTGCTGTTCATAACGCTTTGTGTCTTGTCATTGACGAAAGGCCCCTTACCTTTAGTCATCGTTTCTATCACCTGAAAAAAAGCATCAAAACAGTGAAAACGCTCGAAAACGCCATAGGATGTAAGTCTGAAGAACATGCACCGCCCCCCTTGATAGTTACAATTGAGTTTTACGACTGATCCCGTCCCCAGACATTACCTTTTCGCAATATCTGGCAAAGTCAGTAGTATTCTCCAGTTTGACTGGTTAATGAACAGCATTACATTTTGCGCCCGAATGATGCAAATATTGCAACATCTTGTCACTTTGTCGTACGTGCACATACTTAGAATACTTGTAGTAAGACAATATGTGCTCTTTAGAGCCCTCATGAAAGCGCCTTCTTACAATATTAAATTTTCTACAGATCCAGTTTGATTCTTAGTGCAACACGCGTTAAATAAATGCCTGTGAAAAACTTTGAAAATCTGACGCGCACAACTAACTTGCATTATACACGTTAAACATAGTGAGCGCTGGTTTTTACCTCCATCGGTAGCTAGGTGAGGCATTTGAATTTATCAACAGCAGTGGACATTTTTCTCCCACACTGTCCCTCTTGAGTCTCTCGTTTGTTAGGGTCAGTGACTTGGTGTGTTCGATGTCTGACACATGCAGGCGTGAAGAGACGTGACGTGAACTTTACCAGATGTCTTCCGAAGAATGAGAAGATCTGGTTACAAGATTTTCCACTAGTTCTTTAACGGCGAGTCCTCTCCATCAGTTGGACGAAATTAAAAGACTTCACTTTTGTTAAGTGCCGTCATAAATAGGAAATGTCGTAAGGTTTTCTAATCGAAACAATATCGCGGAAGTCGGCTTAACTTTCTCATCAATTCAGCTTTTGCCCTTAATTAATTGAGACTCACCTCTATCAGTCCTCTTAGCTGTCGATGATAATCTTCGGATTCTGTGTCAGCATCTAGCAAGTTGTTGAACAAAACTACTCGATCTTCAATTTGGTGTACGAAATCTCGAACCCATTCTGGCATACCACCGATCCATTGTTGAACGTATTTCTCGACTGGAGAGACTTTCTTCCTCCGTGCATTACGTGCAGCTTCATCGCCACGTGTTAGTAGCAGGATCATGTGACTTTCGGACTCTTTACCCATGAAACGTTTCAGCAAATTCAGTGCTTCCGCGTCTTCGGCAGTAAATCGTGCGCCAAACTTAGCTACCAGAATGATGGCATCGAAGCCTTGAGGAGCCATAGTGTACATCTTTGCCAGTTCCGTTAGGATCCTTTCTTGATCGACTTTGTAAGCGGGCAGCCAGGGGTTGTAACCAGCCGTCATATTTACAACCGACGTATCTAGAATACCCGGGGTATCTATCACTGTAACCTCTCTGTCGTTAATGGTTCCAGTGCCTTTTTGACAGTATTGCCTTTCAGACCGCTGAGCACCATCGTTGACATCAAATTGTTCCTTCCCAATTATTCCGTTACCAGTGGCACTTTTTCCATTTCCAGTCTTTCCAAGCAGAACTATGGTCAGTGGCTTCTCAATGCGGTGCTAAATTAAGATAATGAGTTGGAAAATCAATCATCAGAAGCTACCTACTTAAGACTGGTAGATAGGCTAGGGGATGACAAAAACTACTGGATAGTTTTTTGGCAAAATATCCTTTTATTTTAAAGAAATATGCAAATTACCAAATTCCGTTAAAATCGTCATTTNCAGCAAATTCAGTGCTTCCGCGTCTTCGGCAGTAAATCGTGCGCCAAACTTAGCTACCAGAATGATGGCATCGAAGCCTTGAGGAGCCATAGTGTACATCTTTGCCAGTTCCGTTAGGATTCTTTCTTGATCGACTGTGTAAGCGGGGAGCCAGGATTTGAAACCGCCCATCATCTTTACAACCGACGTATCTAGAATACCCGGGGTGTCTATCACTGTAACCTCTCTGTCGTTAATGGTTCCAGTGCCTTTTTGACAGTATTGCGTTTCAGACTGAGCACCATCGTTGACATCAAATTGTTCCTTTCCAATTATTCCGTTACCAGTAGCACTTTTTCCATTTCCAGTCTTTCCAAGCAGAACAATAGTCAGTGGCTTCTCAATGGGGAGCTAAATGAAGATATATAATGAGTTGGAAAATTAATCATCAGAACCTAGCTACTTAAAATAGAAATTTAATTTTGAAGACAAAGACGTTCAATAGGAACTGACACACACAAAAACATCAAAGTAGACCTCACGGAATGTTCCTTGGGAGAAATGTTATCAAAAAGTCAGTTTCGGAAACTGTTCGTTATATTCATTGTATTTTAGTAATATTGTATGGTGCACGTTAGTTAATCACTGTAATGTAATTTTACGTGAACGCACATACTAAAACAAAGGCATACGATAATGACGGGACAAAAAGAAAGGAAAGAGTTATTTGCAAAAAGTAAGCGGAGCCCAGCACGTAGCTATAGTGCATAAGCTTGTTCCATGTTTTTACTACTGCTTCGCCCTCATGAAGATATATTGTCATTGTTAAAGTGCAACTAAACCCCAATTTTCTTCCTTTAATGAAAGCTACTAGTCTTCTTAATTACTGGCTTCAACGAAAAAATTATCTCGATTGATAAAATCCCCGCGTTTCTGTACAGGCGTTTTAAGTTAGCAAAGGTGTAATTTCTGCGGCCACGAGCGAGCAAGGACATGGCTGAAAACACTTAAAAGGCGTTTGACTGCGAAAACACACTTTCGGTATATGCTTCATATTTTATCAAAATATCTTATCAAAATATTTCATCAAGAATGAAGAAGCCTTTAAAATAAAAGAAGTGTATTATCTTGCAATACAGTTCAGAGTCTAGTTACTATTAGGACGGCTGCTTTGTATCTATTTTTTCGATTTCGAAGTGCGGGTCGCCAGTCGAGCCCGCCACACTGCAAGTCACGATCGACAGTTCGCCGGCCAGCTTGGCTAATCTACTAATCTACAAACGACACTTCTTCAAGTCCTCTTACCGAATCCTTGATAGTTCATGACGACGAGAGGATATTTTGCCGCTAATGATTCAAATAACGCGAAAAAATTCGTCTCTTCGCTTCGTCACTGCCGACCGACCGTATGTATACAAAGTCATTAATAGCGTGTGCGAAAATGAACATCGCACTAGTAATTAAAAATCCTTGGACAAGATCTTGACAAAAGGTTCAGTATGGTATCAGTTAAATGAATACATTTCTCCTTCACTGTTCTTTGTTTTTAAAGTCTTTCTTACGTTCGCTAATAACCTGAGTGTTGCGTTTTGGTCAAAAACAAACTCATTCTTCTTTTCAGCGCTACAATCCCCGCCGGCAAAGTCCAATCTAAATTGTTTGTTGACTTTACTTATATACTTATACAATGCAATGCTTGACTCGTCAGTTTAAGTTTGTAACTGAGATATGTTTTGTTGCTCAAAGAACAAAACAATTATATATGTGGAAGGGCCTTCGAGAAACTCAGCTGCCGATTGTCGACCTGCGTGTGGTTGTATATAAAATACACAAATGCATTGCATTCCTCGGTCGAGACTTTTTTTCCGACTCTTCAAACAACAGAAATCACACACGCAACAAAAAACGCACACCCACACCCACTCGCATATTATTTAAATGTTCTAGTCTCCTGGGACGTTTGATTGCACGCACATAACGTGTCCTGTATTTGTCGTCTTCTACACAAGGAGTTAAGCATGGTGCCATTTCAACAGCTTTGTGAAGTCACACGGTCAAATATGGCTCCTTTTAAATGGTAATCAAGTAAATATGAATTAACTAGTGCGGCTATTGAGAACTGCCATTCTGCATTTTTACGATTCTGCTGCTTTGCTATTTTGTAACATGCTAGTAAGCTGAGTATAGTCCATTCCATATACCCCGGCCACAGTATACCAAATAAGACCTTCTTGTCTTTTTCATGTCGTCCTCCTTGGTTTCTGCAGACTTGACGATTTTCTTCCCTGGGAGCCACGTTATCCTTAGAGTAAAATAAAAAGCTGCTAATGTCAGTTACCAAACAGTGATTGGCCTGTTCAGTTGTTTAGACTTCGACCTGTATATTCTCAGTCAGCCCTGTTTCAAGCCAAAGTTTGCTGGCCATTTTTGCTCCGGGTGCACATCTCTTTTCTTTAAACGCAGGAGTTTGTCGTACCACAACCCACTGTTTGTAATTTTAAATCAAACTAATGCGGCATATCTTCTAAACAGTATATACAACTTTTGCTAACCTTTGTTTTCATTATTTTGTTCCACCTCCGGACAAATTTCCCCTCGACATCGTATCCGTCCAAGGCTTGCTTGTAAGCGTCCAGACAAGCATCTACCAGCTCCTGTCCCTCACTCTTGTTCAAAGCAGAAATTGCCGAATGGAAATCACGCAAGAGTTCTTTCACTTTAGAGATGAAACTCTGAATATCATCATCAATTTCTTCGACACTGTCCAGGTACCTGTTAGCGTAGGTACGAGCGTTGCGAAGGTCATCAAAGAGGTTTCCTAATTCCTCCGTTTTATCCATCGACACTCTTTGCTGTATGTATGCTCTTGCAGTTGGAATAATGTCCTTTGTAGGCAGGAGTTCGAACTGCAACGAAAAACATCGGAGATCCTGATAAGTTGATGTTCTGAGAACATCCGGTAGAGCATAGAAGAGTTAATTCCGACAATTTTTCTTTTCTTTTTCCATGACCTTTACCACATCTTTGAATTAATTCCACTAAGTCACTATCCGCAACGTCCTCGGAACAGTGTATTTTTGCAGATAAGCGTAAGAATGATTGACTTCAACCTCACCGATGTCTATAGGAATTAATGGTATAACGCGAGGCCAATTCCAGGAGTGAGTGAACAATAGACGCACTGCTTCTGACTAAAACTATGATTTATACGCTATACGAGAAAGGGCCTAAATCCAAAGGCTTTTTGGCGTCAAGCATATCTATAAATCTTATAAAGGCAGGAAAAAAAAAAAAAAACTCTGACAGGAACAATGCCTGATTTTAGAAACTATGCAATTCTTCTGGATATGGAAAGTATCCAAAGGTATGCATTATATTTATAGTAACAATATATAGAACTGTTTACGTTATGAACGCGGCTGAGTGTCGGTTTTATTTGGAAATCTCTACCAGCTACCAATAAATGGGGCTCTAGAGGAAAAAATAAATTCCAAAAAAGAGACAACAAGCAATCAAAAATAAGCGAGCCTAGTTATAAAATACTTAAAAATAAAAAGATCATTTAAAAAGGAGAGTTAAGATGAATCTAAGAAAGAAAATAAAAGAAATGTATGTTGAAAGCCTTGTTGAAAAGATACGTTTTCAAATGTTATTTGAAAATGTCAGTGGAATTTAAAATAGCCCTTACGAAGTACGGAATAGTGTTTCATAATTAACACGTTCTAAAAACAAATGGGATATTCTAAAATGCAATTTCTGGAACAAATAAAGGAAATCGGCTTAATTTTTTTTCAGATAAAATTAACAAATCTGGCATTAAATGCCCTTTTTGGCTATTTTTTTGCCAGAGTGGTAAACATTTTGGCACAATTTTGCATTAAGTGCTTAAATTTTGC